GCCAGAAATTTTGAACTCCTAAAAACATTGCAAACTTTTACCCTGACAATGAAATTATCTCAAATAAAAACTTCTTTCCCCTTTTTTTTGATAAAATATACAGAATTCTTTCTAGTACCATATAGTAAACAACAAACAAATCAAACCACAGATAAAATATCTGAAGTATCATCAAACTCCTTAATTAAACTCATTAAAAGAAAAAAAAAGTACCAACCTAAGCGTCGTTTTAGATTCTGTTTCTGGCGAGCCAATCTCTCTTTAGGATTTCTTTGAGTATCATTTGCAATATCATACTCCTGCATTGGAAAAGGAATCAAACGTTTTCATTAGCACAGAAAATGCTATAAATTGAAATTAATACACAAAACGACCAATGTTGCGACAAATTAAAAAAAAAAATTATTAGAGGGAGGCATACATTATAAATCAAAGAGAAAACTAGTAGTGCCAGAGAGGAGGAACAGGGGGATGCGGAGAACTATAGAAATCACCGTTAGTATCTAGTGCCCATAAGTAAGCTTCTAGAGAACAGAAGTGATGGCTCTAACTTAGAGCTTTAAAAATAATGCATTGAGAAGGTTATCAGAGGCAGATTTAATAAAATTTTTGAATAAATAAAATCATCATCAGTTATTTCAAATTTTAGTCCAGCTTCAATCAACCAAACAAGCTACTAACACTGACTTGCAAACCTAAACAATTATTTCAACAAGATGCAGATAAATGTCAAGATAACATATGACTATTAAAATGATGCTAGTTGTCATAATCAGAATAACTACCATTCAAAATATACTTTAAAAAGAGGAAACAATGTGAAGAAAGGCAATCACAATTCTCTTTAATTCTTTTTAGCTCTATTGTTATTATTATTATTATTATTATTATTATCATTATCATTATTAGATAACCCAGAAAACCGTCTGAATAGATGCCATATTATTACATAACTTAAGTTTACACACTTCTCTCTATTCAACAAAAACATCCACAGGAAAACTGATAAGAAAGGATGGGAAAAGGTTCTTGATCTTGTTTACAAAAAGCAAAGGCATTTTACAACTCCAGAGATCGAAAAACAAAAATAAATAAAACAAATATGAAAAGCTACTTTACAAGAAATTGAAAGAAAGAGAGAAAGAAAGAAACCAATGTCAAATAAAGGAAATCAGAAATGTGACATCAGCCAGAACAAAGACAGAAGATTCTAACCCTTGACCATTCATCGCTAGAAATAACAAGAATGGAAAGAAAGGTGCTGTACATTTACTGAGAAATTAACAAAAGGAATTAAATAGAAAATTTTCAGTATAACATGTGGAATTTTTTTCAAGGTTATTAAAATCCTAATAAAGAATAATACATGATATTTAGACTAAATCCTTTGGCTTCAACATAAAATGGAGATCATTTACCTGTCCACCTGAGGCCAACAAAGCCCCAAACTCCAACACCTTGTTGATGTCAAAGCTGTTAAAAACAATTTATTCAAAGAAACATATGTCAGTAAAGAAGACAACTAGATATTGTTTGGAGAATCGCATACTTAGAAAGATGGAACTGAAATTAATGACAAGCATAATATTTTTCCATCCGAGGAAAATTTTGGTACAATAGAAAATGGAAAAAAGAAATCTCATAAACAACCTTCTAAATGAAACACCTGCCACAATTTTAGAATGTAAGTCAGGTGATGCCACCACATCTTCAACACTAGCAGATATCCCAGCCTCAGTCATCTTTGCTCCAACAGAAGACAATAAATCAGCCAGAGAAGTGTGCTTAACATTTTGAGCAATGGCTCCTATGGCATGAGCAGCAGCAACCCTTGTGTCCCAATTTTTACTACGAAGATACTGAGAAAGCTAATTGCACAAAAACAATATAGTTTAGGTAGATGATTAAGTACAAAACATAACAATAACATGCAACTGACAAGTCCACCCCAGAAGGATAGTCCATGGTAAAAAGATGTCATAACAACAACACAAAAAAAAAAAAGGTAGAAATACATAATTAGAAAATGTAAATTTCACACTAGAATTAAATAAAATAACCCTAACTAGTGCTTAGCTCAATCCCTATACTAAGTAGCAAAACGCAGAAAACTTGAGAACAGCTCAAAAGTTAACTCAACTGTTCTGCATTTTGATTACAAACGTCCAAGAAAAATACCTTTCAAGCTAAAATTTAATGAAGAATCTTCAATTACAGCCTCAATGATTTTTCTAGGTTGAAAAAAGAATAATTTAATAGAATCTTGCAATGCAACAATTTAAAATGTCTAATTTCTAAAAATTTACAGTTTAAAAAGAGCAATTAGTGAAGCGGCCCAGCGTGCAGGGGAAAATGGAACAAAACATAGAGACAGCAAGAGAGGTCTAAAATCTATGGCATTCAAAAATAGTATTCTTATTTATTTTCCTAAAACAACAAGAACATCCAAGCATTTTGATAAAATGGGTCGAATTCCACCTTTAAGCCCTATAACAGAACCATATTAGAAGTAAGAATGTTGACGGCTTAGGAAAGAAGAACATTTAGGATAAACTTCTCACAATCCTAATTCAGCAAGGTTAAACACAGACTTCGAAATGTTAGCTGCCACCTAAAGTCTTTTAAGTCATAAATACCACAAGCACAAAAACCACAGAAACCGGCAAGTCCAGTGGCCTACTAAACCGACTTCAGCTTATTTAGGTATTTTGCTAAACAACTAAACTCAATTGCATGGAAAACAGCAATTCCAATTTTGTCAACAATCGCATTATTCCAAAAATAATAATAAATGTCAAAATTCAATCTTGGCAACGTAATATACAAGGTATAGCTTCTTTGCTTTCTCCAAATAATCTTAAAAAAATACAACAACTGCATTAAATCCAAAAAATCAGGGAAATGTAGCTTTTTTTTCTTCCTCAAAATGACATAAATTCCAAAAAGCTCCAAATTGACCAATAAAAAAACACTTATTACACTAAAATAATTGCTAAGAATGCATAAAAATTAAAAGAAATTAAAAATCACAAATTTGAAATCAGTACCTTCTTGAGAAGAGAATTCAAGTCCTGCGGATGCGATTTGGCAATATCCCCAATCTGTCTTGCCGCAGTGAATCTCGTCGCTTGCGTTGAACCAGCTTTTTTAAACAAAATCAGTCAAAGAAACAAAAGGAAAATGCTTATTGAATTTCGAAAAATTTCAATCAGATCCAAATTAAAAAGAAATAATTCAAAATATTAAAAAAAAAAGGATACTATCCAACAAAGTGAGTAAACGATTGAGTCGCGAAGATTGTTGCTGAGCCATATAGCTGAGACGGCGTCGGATTACAATTCTCCACTAATTCTTTGGCATCGTCTTCGATCATTCAATTTGAAATATCGAAAATTTTTCGCTTCTCGAAGAAAAACAAGAAAGCTTGATCAAAAAAAAAAAAAGAAAAATGAGAAAGAAGGGAAGTGTCGGATTCGACGTCGTTTTTCTCAGTGGAATCTGCTTGGCTTTCGTTTTCGGGCACTCCTTTGTTTTATTATATATAAGAGAATGGAAATAGAAGGTAAAGAGGGATAGATGTGTAAAATTAGGGTTACCAGCGAAACGGCGGTGACGTTTTGGTGATTTTAAGGAAGAAGATGACGATGCATTTTTTTTTATTTTTTTATAAATATATGTCGCAATTTTAATCGTAAAAATGAATATATTGTTTTCAAATTATTTTTTTTATTTTATGTATTTTTTTAATTATTACTCATTTTTATATATTTTTTATTTTTGTTGTTAATAAACGATAAAAAAATCTTGCCCTTTTGTCTCTCGAATATTGAATTTTTTTTTGTCAAATTAAAATTTAATATTTATATTTTATTTGCTTCCTTAAAAAATTGGTTTGTGCAAATAATTTTGACGTTAGCGGGTCAGGGCCGCTCGTTTAGTTGGGCCAACCGCCAACCAGATTGTCATAAAGGAGCCGGAGCGGATGATTAATATTGGAGCCCATTCCGGCCCCCACAGCTTGGCTCCGCATTGGTCTAGGCTTGAACAAAAACTTTGAGTTCAAATTTGGTTCACATCATTTCAAATTATTTTAATATTTTATCAATAAATTATATATAATTAAAATAAAATATTAAATATATTTAAATATATAAAAAATAGTAACAATGAATGTTAATTTTAAAAATAAAAATTTTACCTTTCTTGTTAAAATTATCTATGTTCAAACTCCATCATTTTTCTAAAATAATGTAAAACATTTTATCTTTTTTCTAAAATAAAAAAATGGGTTAATACTTTTATGCTTTTGTAACCTGTATTTTTTATTAAAAAATTAAAAAAAAATTTCTTTAAAATTAAAATGAGATCGAGTAGAGTAGATTAAAAATTAGAAAAACAAAAATAAAACCTCTCCAAGTTAAATAAATCTATGGGACCAACACCAAAACTTTACGAAAAAAGCAAGAATGGAATAAATTCTCTTTGCCGGATGAAGTAATCATCATGGCAAAATCCACAATACAATAAAAAAAAAAACATATCAAGGAAATTAAAATTAAATTATATGTTTTTTTAAGGAAATCTTAGTTTAAAAATAAATAAATATAAATATAAGTTTTTAAATTTTAAATTTATTATATTATTTATTAAAAATAATTATATAAATCAATTAAATCAAGTTTTGTTTTAAATCTTATGCTTCTTTATTTAGATTTTAAACCAATATTTAATTGTAATAATTTTAAGATAATTTATTAAAGTTGATTAAGACAATTCATTGAATTGAGATTTGGATAAATATTTTAAGTTTGAATTATTAAGGTTTTATTAAAAAATGGTAAAATTCAAATATTTAAAAAAAATTATTAATCATGATTTTATGCCAACTAATTGGATTGATCTATAAGAAAAGAATGATAAAAGAAATTAATATTCTTTTTCTAATAAAATGAAAAAAAATCACCACAATAAAATGAAAAAAAAAAAGTAGTGCCAAAAAAAAAAAACAGAAGAAAAACAAAAGAAGAATACAGTAGGAACTGTCTTCACTTTCTTTCTCTTCTTTTTGTGCCACCCCATTTGCTTTCTCGTTTTCTTTCAAAGCAAAACAATTGAATAAAGAAAAAGCAACCAACCATTACGACTTCATAGCTGTTTTGCTAAGCCAAAAAAGTAAGCAAAAAGAAAGAGAAAACACAGAGCAGAAAAGAAAAACAGAGGATTACATTTTGCTTTTTTTTTTTTTAATTGCTGATCTATTTGTATTTGGCCCATTTTCAGAATTCCCTTCAGTTTCAATTTCCCAAGTTTTAAAAGCCCCGAGGTTTCTGGGTTTTTCCAGGTATTGTCGGGTTTTCTATCTCTTGCTTGAAAGTTTTAAGTTTTATGTGATGGAAAGTTTTCAGCTTTGCTTAACATTTTCTTCTTTTGAATTAAATTTCCATCTTTTTTTGTTTGTTAGTCAATTTCATACTCAAAAACTCTTAATTGTTGCTTTTCAGCTATTGGGTTGATCTTCATTTGATTGCTCTGTCTTTCACTTAATTCTACCTCTAAGGTGAGTTCACAGTTAAATTTTGTGAAATATTTGTTCGCTTTGGATCCAGTGGGCTGTTTTATTTTTAATTGGTTCTTTTTTTTTTTTTAAACAGGTTGGAAATTGAGAAGAAATAAATTTATATATATAGTGAGAGATGGGGCTTGAAAGATTGGAATTTGGAGTTAGAGTTAGGAAATTTATGGTGATATCAGTTAAAACATGTCATAGATCGGTTCGGAATCATCCATTTTGGGTTGGCTTGTTTTGTTTTTTGATTTTTTTGAATAGATCATTTCCTTTGTTGTTTTCTGTATTGGTTACCGCATCTCCTGTTTTGGTTTGCACTGCTGTTTTGCTTGGTACTCTTTTGAGTTTTGGGTCACCAAATATACCCGAAATTGACGAAAAGGAAGAAGAAGAGAAAGTTAGTCATGAAGTTTCACAATTGAAAACTGGGGCTACGGAGGATGATACTGTTTTCGAGAGAGGTGGTGGTGATGATGATTTTGTTGTTGAAAGATATGTAGGGAAGAAGTGGGATATTGCAGACAATGCTGATGAGAAAGATAATTTGGTTGATAATGAGGTCAGTGAAGCAGAGGAAGAAAATGGTTCAGTTCGCTATAAGCCATTGGTTGATGAGGATTTGGATTCTAGGGATATTCATTGTAAGAATGGGATGATTGATGAGTTGGAGGGAACATTGAGTGGTTCATTGTTGGAGAAGAAGTGGGAAATTCGGGAAGAGATGCTGGTGAGTGAAGGTGTGTTGAGTATGGGAGAGGCTGCAGATGATCGACATCTTTTAGCAGATGAGGTAGGAGATAGGAATCTTGAAGTGGAGGATGGTAAACGCAATGCAGGTTTCAGTGATGTACCAAGGGTTGATGAATTGGATTCTTCTCTGGTGTCATCTTGGAAATGCACCGCAGATGATGAGGATGATGGTGTTGATGAAGATGATGATGAATCTTTGGATTCTGGTTCTGATAGTGCTGAGAGTTCTTCTCCTGATGCTTCAATGGCAGATATAATTCTGATGCTTGATGAGTTGCATCCACTTTTGGGCCCTGAAGCTCTACACCCAGCTCAGTTATCTCATGATCGTCTGGATTCTGCCTCAGAGAGATCTCATGGCAGCAATAATGATGAAAGTGTTAACTTGTATGAGTTAGAAAACCAGAGGGAGGAAGATAATGATGGAGAGGAGGATGAAGGAGGGGAAAAGGGAGATAAAGAGGATGAAAGTAAATCTGCAATTAAATGGACAGATGATTATAAGAAGAATCTCATGGATTTGGGGACTTCAAAGCTTGAAAGAAACCAACGATTGGAGAATCTTATTGCAAGGAGTAGAGCCTGTAAAAACATGAGATTGATGGCTGAGAGGAATCTAATAGACTAGATAGTGCTGATATTCCCTTAAACATCACACCAATTTCTACAAGACGGAACCCATTTGAACTTCCATATGATTCCTACGATGACCTAGGGTTGCCTCCCATTCCTGGCTCAGCTCCATCCATTTTGCTGCCAAGAAGAAACCCTGTTGATCTTCCTTATGACTCAAGTGTGGAAAAATTCAATCTTAAAGGAGACAGTTTCCAACAAGAGTTTTCAGGTTTTAATCAAAAGGAAACAATTCTCCAAAGAGAAGCCTTCTTTCGAAGACATGAAAGCTTCAATGTTGGACCATCATCTTTAGGTGTTCCTCAGCAAGAGCTTAACTGGAAACCTTATTTTGTTCCAGAGCGGTTAGTAACAGAAGGAAGCTAACCCTTCCCCATTCCAAAGGCAGTCAAGTGAAGTTAGCGAGTCGAAGTTGAGTTCTATTCCTTATACTGAATCAGTGAGTTCAGTTCTGGATGAGGAGGACAAGTCATATGAACAAGATGTTTCTCTAGAAAATGAATTGATTGTGAATGAAGATCACGCTTCTGTCCATGATGAACAAGAGAGTGAAGCGTCTGGGGATGTTGAACAAGCCGATAATAGAGATGTTCATCATGATGTGGTTGAGATCGTATTGAGAGATGAAGAAAGTCGGTTGGAAATGGAATCAAATTTGTCTGAAGCTGGAGCAACTGCTCATGTGGAACTCAATGCAAGTGAAATTGTACCAACATCTCATGTTGGCCAAGCCGAGAATAGAGATGTTCATCATTGATTTGGTTGAGATCACATCAGAGATGAGAAAGTCAGCTGGAAATGAAATCAAATTTGTCTGAAGCTGAAAGCAACTACTTCATGTGGAAAGCAATGCAAGTGAAATTCATCCCAGAACAGATCCAGTTGAGGAGGATTTAGCAGTAGATCAAGTTTGTCCTCTTATCAGAAATAGATGAAAAGAATATCTGCTGTCAGAGGAGATGGATCTGCAGGTTTTGACCCCCAGAGATCATGAAATTAAAAGAATCTGGGCATTTCTATACAACCATCATTTGAGGAATCAGAGTTCCATTTACAAGCAGGGTGGTTGATGATAATCAGCATAGTGAACCTGTTTATGATTCAAGTCCTCTTAAGAAGTTCCTATCATTTTCATCTGTATCTTCTGACACACAAGCTGAGATATCTGAGATGGGTTCACCCTCAATGTTGGTTGAGCTTACTGATAAGGAACCTGAAGGGCATGGTGAAACAACTGAGCAGGGTGCTTCTGGTTTTCAAGAGATGCATGCAGCATCCTTAGATGTACTTAATGAAATGAACCAAGGGCAAGGGATCTCCGGAGATTGTGAACACGATGATACATATGCTGGTTCATCGGGGGTTTCTTCCACTTCTGCTGGTCATAATGTATCAGTGGTGCCTGAATCTGTGGTTGAATATGTTTCAACAGATGCAGGGTCATCATCTTCTGACAAGGGATTGGAGGAGGATGTCCCAAATAAGGAACAAAGCTTTACCAAGAATCAAGTGGACTCATTAAGGATGACTCTTGCTGTTGACCAAGGAAAGGGGGAGGTGTTGAATTCTTCACCAGCAGTACAACAGCATCAAATGCACCCCAATAAATCTTCACAGGCTGAACCGGGAGATAGGCATGCAGTTGATAAGGAAGGACACTAAGCTTGAGCGAGTTGAAATCCATTCATCAAGTTCATCAGAGGATTAACTTAGTTGAGGGCAGTGTTATGCCCAAAGAAGGAAATTATCCAGACTGAATGTGATCAAATGCAATCTTCAAACTTTGCTGCAAGTCTTGATGTTGATGACCACCACGATAAGGGTGAGGAGTTGTCTTCCATGGCTTTGACTTACCAGCATATGCCTTCCAATTCATCCACAGCAGAGGAATCAGGTCAGATAGTGGTGGCTCAAGTTTCACAAATTGACCTTTTAGAGGCTAGCCTAAGGGAGGTGCATAAAACGGAATCTGAAATGGATCAAGTCCAATCAGCATGTTCTGATTCAAAGATTGATACTGGTCTCGGCCATGATATGAACATGGAGGGAATTCCTTCAAACTCTAGTTATCAAGCTATGCCTTCTAGAGAAAACCGTTCACCAGAATTGGAGAAACAGCTGTCGCTGTCTGATAAATCTATGGATGAACCACACATTGATGAACATCATAAGCTTGAAGTAAGTTACGCAAGTATTTCTTCTATTTGTTTTCTTATAAATTATTTTGCATATTTATTCTTCAAAAATTCATTTCATTTTTTAAATATTGATGCTTACTTTGATCTCATTGGATCAAGTTCTCTCAGTTATGAAACTTTTTTGTGAGCTTGGAGTTTGGTAGAAGTAAAATGATAATCTATCCTCTTTGTTTTTTCATGCTATCTTTTTTTTTCCTTTTCTGTTTCTTTATCGACAAAGGAATTGATGGTTGTATAAAAGTAACCTTTAATGCCAGATATACCAGCAAAAGAAAGTAGTCAAGTTGAAAGCAATGATATTATTCTTGCATCAAATAATGATGTTGAAGTAGCTAATTAAACATGGATTATGTGATACTCATATATTTGCAGATAATTAAGATTTCATAGAGCTGAGTGATTGATTTACCCAGTATGAAATGTTCTTATTGCATGTATGCTTAAATACTGTGGCGTTTAAGCAATTTAATGCATTATTTATTTGAATTTCCTTGTATATATCTGAATTTTCTCAGGAGTTGAATTGTTTGCTTCCGTTGCTATCACATGCATCCCTTTTCCTCTAGCGTGCTTGATAGACATGGTACTATGGTACCCTGCATTTCACACTATGTATCTCAAATTTTATGGTATTTATGTATCCTAATTGTAATTAAATTGGTGATATCAAAACTAACTCTGGCCACTCTGATTTAGGAGCCATCTATAATTGCAACTGAGTCTAGAGGGGAAGTAGACATTGTCAACAGTGATGTTAATGTACATAAAGTTCATGAGTCCGAGGACAAACTTTCAACAAATTTCTCTTCTATGACTTCAGAGTCCACTTCTTCTCCTGCTGCGAGTCCTGAACATACATTGCCAACAGATCGAGAAGATTTGAAAGACAATATCCTAAACAAAATTGAAAGTGAGGGCCCCAACGAGGTATCAGAACACTTTAATTATGCAGCAGAAGTATATGCCACTCATGTTGATGAGGAAAATATAAGTGAAGAGGAAGATGAGATTAAAGAGATTGATGAAGGAATCCTCTTTGAATTGGATACTGTAGGGGACTTTAATGTCAAGGAAATTGGTTTACCAGAGGGATCTCATGTTGCCTATACTGAATCTGCATTGTTACCAGAAAATATAAAGGCCGAGACTAATGTTGAGCTGCCTGTTCTTGAAGCAAGATCAGTAGAAGATATTGATTTGGCTTTCAAGCAACTTCATGAAGGAGTAGATGTTGAGGAAGTAATTCTTCCAAGTATGATTGAGAATCTGCAGGATCATACAGATACCAATTCAAGATTACCTGTTGTTGAGGGAAGATCTCTGGAGGATATACATGATGCTTGCCAACAAGGCCAAGAATCTAATCCAGCTGAGCTGCCACATTATTCAGACTTAAGGAATGAATCATCAGAAATAAAGCAGCTTGAAGCAAGACCGGTTGAAGATACCAATTTGGCTTTTAAGCAACGTCATAAAGGAGTAGATGCTGAGGAAGTAATTATTCCAAGTATGCATGAGAACCAGCAGGATCATGTCGATACACATTCAAAATCACCTGTTGTAGAGGCAAGATCTCTGGAGGATATACATAATGCCTTCCAACAACGCCCAGAATCTAATCCAGCTAAGTTGCCAATTCTTCAGACTTGAGGAATGGATCAACAGAAGTAGAGCGGCATGATGTGGTTGCTGCTAAAGAGATTGAAGTCAGTGATGGAGTCTCTGTTACTCAAGAAAAAGCGAGAATGCTGCTAGCGAGCCAAAAAATGAATATGAAGAAGCATCAGAAAATCAAGTCTAAACCTTAAGGTAAGAATGCAAAACCGCATGACTCAAGTTCTAGTTCCAGCTCAAGCTCCAGTGATTCTGAATGAAAGCAACAAAATTTAGTTCTAAAAGAAAGAAAAATATAGAGTTTGGTGTCTTCAGTTTTCTTTTAAAATGGTTCTTTTTCTCCCCCTTCTTTGCGGAGATGAGTTTTTGGGTTTTCTAATTTGGTTACCATCATGTTTTTGATTAATGGTAGTCATGCTTTGTTGAGTTTTTGATTGATTGAGTGATTTCTTCAACAATGAGTTTTAGTTTTGATTTCTTTTTTCTTCTTTTTGGTTTTTTTTTTTTTTTATGCCTTTCAAGTATGGCAGTTTGAGGTTTAAGATTGATTTGATCCTTGAATATCTTTGTAAATTATATCTTGGTTGTAGAAGTGATGAAGTGTTCAATTCTAATGTACTTGTACAATTGCTTTCTCATATTTTCCATCTTTCTCCTTCTACGTGTATATGTATTCTTATTGTTTCGCGATATATATATCACTTATGGAGGGAGATGAGAACTCCTGATCTCACCTTCCACCAGGTCAGTCTCTCAAGAAAACTTCAATTAGCTACAGGTTGTTCATTCAAGTCCCCTAAATCCTATCATCGATGTTCAAAGAAAGTCATCATTTTCTTGCAACGCTAGACACTAGTTGCTTCTTTAATCCTATTTTTCCTATTGTAAAAGCAAATATAAACGGTAATTCATTGTAAACTTATATTAGAAGGTTTTGATCATCGGTCTCACAATGGAAATCATCAATCCAGTTGCAACTCTTCATGTTTTTTTGCATTAGAAAATACATGCCAAGTTGGCGACTTGTGGCTGCAATGAGTATGGAGATGTGCCTGCCTGGTGCCTGCTTAGGCATGTTTGTTTGGGGTTAAAGAAAATGAACTCATTCTAGTGAATGGACTCTGGAAAGGGGAAAGCAGGGAAAGGCTGCTGGGTTTCCGCTTTTCCAGCTCAAATTCTGCAGCCAATTTTATGAGAGGAATATGTGATCTGTGCGTTTCTTCTAAGATTTATTATTCAAAGAACCTTTGGAAGAAAAAAAAAAAAAAAGACCCTTTGGATCTTCTAAATTCACTTTTAGCTAAATCAGTTTTAAATTAGAAATCAATTTATGGATCTTTTATACCCCACAAGAACATCAAATAACAATCTGTTTAGTATTAATATTGATAAGTAAATAAAAGTTATCATAACCTGAATGTATCAGTCTAAAAAGCCATGAAATTTCAAGAGCGTGGACCAAGGAATGTTTTCCTTTGAAAAGCTTCTGTCCCTTTCTTTAGAGGGAGTGAGGAGAAATTGAATGAGTGAAATACCCCACAGGCACGAGTTAGCCTGGTTGGGATTTTATGTAAAGCAGCAGGACAGAACTCATACTCCAAATCAACAAAGCTGATTCACATCTTCAGGTTTGAACTTAGAGAGAGGGCAGAGGTTGCTTGAGATTGGAAAGCTATCTCATTCTGTGACTGGAGAGCCAAATACTCTTCAGATCATGAAAGAAAGAGAGAGAGGGTACAGTTAATCTATGATGAATTATAACTCGTCCTTGTGAACATGCACTTAGTAATCAATATGAATATCTATGTTGCATGAGCAGATAACTATAACATGAATCTATAGATAACGGCATTAAAAAAAGAAAGAAGAAACAAACTAAGACTTTACAGTCCTAATGCTTTTGCTTTTTCTGTGCAGGCTCTGAGGAACTCCCAGCCAGACAAATAAAAAGACAAATAAACAAACTAGGTATACCATTTTCTCAACAATATGCCAATAAGACATGGTTATTAAGATACTAAAATGAATAAAAATTTGTCCTAAAGCCTTTAGCCTAGTGGTTAAAGGCGTTTGAGGGACATCAAGAGCTTGGTTTCGAACCAAATCTCTCCCCTCCCTCTTACTTGTACTAAGACTTTGCTCTCATGATGTAACAAAAAACAGAGAAATGAACAAAAATTCAAGACATTATCTAAATACGATATTTACTATGCTTGGTGTTAAACTAGAGGAGTAGGGAGTAGCTAAAAGATTTTAAAACCATAAGCATGACAAGTAGCATGCAATGGCACTCGAGGCACACCTTGAACACCCAAAACTCGAGTTCCTAATTCTCCGAACTCTTCTTAAAGACGATAAGGTAGGTAACAAGACATAGAAAGGCATTTTTACCATGTTTGAGAAAATCATTAACCACAGGAATAAGAATTTACGAACTTAAATGGATGAGAAACTTGGGATGTTGCAACAAATTTCTCATCAGCTGAAAGGCCTCGTGAATCAGATAACCAAAGTAATTACTTCAATCTTTGGATTTGTAGCTTTGGCCTTTGTTCTAAAAGTGTATGGATAGCCTTACTACAAAGTAACTGATTATGGGAATTGATGCACAATGTTGGAAAGACAAATTCATGCAAGAATTCGAATGGTCCCAACCAGTAAAATCAAAGACTACCTACCAAAGGGATCCCTTTATCTGGTAGTTAGATGTGATAATGACTTTTATGCCTTCATTAGGTGCATCAGCTGACACCAGATGTTGTCCTAAAGCTGATGAGTAGGAGGAGAAAGGGCTTCAGGAAAGAGGGAAGGTAGGAAGCATGGCATTGGAAAAAGTTCTTTTTCTTCTATTTTCCTCTTCTTGGCTGTCGAGTAGCAGGAAGGAGAGGCAGAGAAAAACACTTGCCATGAACAAAGGATGGATTCCCAGAGCATGTTTGTAATCTGTTCATAACAAATTCATGAAACTTTATTTTACGACTATCCCTCATACTCTTAAATTCTAAGCATCACTGATCCTTTAATAATTCAGGTGATTCTTTCACTAGAAGTTAATTGCACGTGGGATACCCGACAAAACATGAGATGTCTCTTCTTTTTGGCAGTTTACCATATAAAATGTTCCTCACCATAAGTTTACCCATGATATCAGAAAAAGGGCACCATTCCGGTATACATGATGATGAGAAGGCCCTCAATACGTACAAGATGAGACAAAATGGCTTTTTCCCTGTTTGATATACATACCTTAAGATGGATAGTAGCCACTCTATTGGCTTGTGCTGAGTTAAGAGTCTCCATCATCTGTGTCAAGAAAATTCTAATAATGAAATATGCCACGTAAGAAATGTAAAGTGCAGTAGCTTATTCGTTTGCAGACTTTTGGGCTTACGAATTTCAAGATATTAGTCAAATGACAGCAAGTCGGCAACCATGTAATCCCGGTAAAGCTAATTAAATCTCTCTGTATAGGTAAACCCAGGTCTTCAACTGACTAACCTGAGAATATTAACCAGGAGAACTCATAGGATGAGAAAAAAATAAAAAAAAATAAAAAATTAATTTGAAATTATAGTGTTCAATTTGATTTGGATCGTTTTTTTATTATTTGATTTGAATTAAATTTAAATATTAAATAAATATATAGATATATTAGGTTTGGATTGAATTTCATATTAAAAGGTGAAAAAAAAAAAACCTATATTTCTTAATTTTTATATATATTTTAAATTTTTATAAAATAAAAATAATAATTTTATATTACAATTTATTCAAATATATTAAAATTTTACATTAAAATAATATTTTAAAATAATAAAATTAAAATTAAAAAAATACTAAACAGAACTGAATAAAATCGATAAAATTCGATTTAATTCAATTCAAATTATATAAAGATTTGATTCGAATTCATATTAAATTTTAAAAATTCATATATTATATAACATTTAAAAAAATTAAATCGAATCTAATTTTATCCGAACTTATTTTCATTCAAATCATACGTAGAGGTGAAAAAAAATTTGAAAAATCAAAAAATTAATTCAAAATTGTAATGTTCGGTTTAGTTTGAATTGATTTTTTTATTTAATTAGATTAAGTTTGGATATTAAATATATATATTAAATACGGATTAAAAAGTAAAAAAAATTGAATCAAATCGAATGAAATTATATATATTTTTAATTATTATATATATTTTAAAATTTTATAAAATAAAAATAATAATTTTATATTAAAATTTATTTAAATATATTAAAATTTTATATTAAAATAATATATAAAAATAAAAAATAAAAAAATTAAATTGAATCCGATAAAATTTAATTTGATTAAATTTAAATTAAATAAAAATTTGAATTGAATTCAGATTAAATTATAAATTCTTATAACAACATATAATATCTAAAAATATTAAATCTAATTCAAATCTTTATCACCTTTCCCATGCGCCACGTCAAAAGACGTGAATCAGCGGCACCAGCAGTGATTGGTGTGGAAGCCCAATTTGGCCCAACTCTCTTTTGCAAAAAAAGAAAAAAAAAAGTTCAGTCACTCTCACTCACGGCAACATGGCTTCATTTCCGAGGAAAAGAAGAAACATAAAAAAAATCCCAAACTTAAATCTAAAGTTTAGATCTGCCGTCCTGATCATTCCACGTAAGCCCCCTAATATTCTCATTTTTTATTAATTAATACTTCCTCCCGAAGTAAAAAAAATTGTCTTTCTCTATGACAGGTTACTCTCTCTCTTTCGCTCAAACCCTCTCTTGCTAATAAAATAAAATAAAATAAAGGGCTTCTTCTCTCTAAAAATTTTTAGGTTTTTTCGCTTTCTTTACCAAATTTGTCCCTTATTTCTACTGCTGCAAGCAATCTCAGGTTCGTTCTTTGTTTATTATAATTGAATTCTTGTTTATTATTTTCGTTCTGCTTTGTAAACTTAGTTGAATTTTTCTTTGAGTGCTTCGAAACCCTAGGTTTCTATTTGGTTGCTAAGAAACTTAAGTAGAAATGGAATTGACAATTTGAAATCTTGGAAGCTGATGTCAGCTCTGTGGAGAATTTTGATATTAGGTACAGTTGAGAGTTCTTTGTTTTTTCTTTTAGTTTGTTTCTAGTTTTAATTTATTTATTTTCTATTTGTAAGTTGCAAAATTAAATAATTTAAATTTGAATGTTTCTAATTTGTTTTACTGAGAATTTTTCTTATTTTTTATCAGTAAATAGATTTTATATAGTTGGAGAGATTTTTGTGAATGTTGTTGAACAGTAGAAGATGCTGAAAAGCAAACAATAGACTCAATGGCGGTCAGTTTGCGATTAGAGAAGGCGTTAGGTTATAAAATTATAAAGAAAATGAAAGCTATAGTTGAAAAATTGTTTTTAACTGATACTGCTTTGTGAGTACTAATTTATAATACCGATGATATGGCCTTCACGGAATTTAGAGTGGAGTGCAAATATCTGAAAGCTTGAGGAAAGGATTTGAGATTATGGTACTGTATTTTATCATTGCAAGAGGAAGGAAAGCGACAATAATTGCGAAATTTCATTTCTGGCAAAATTTTGAGTTGGTGTCCTATAAAAAAATCTTGGTGTACCATGTTTGTGAAAATCAATTTTGTTGGGACACATTAAAATAGTCTAGGGAAGAAACGTGGAAGTTTTGCCTCCTTGGGGTTTATGGCAGTTTTGACTGGAAAATAAGGGATTTTAGGGTTTATTGCTCTTGTAGGAATAAGGTTAGGGTTTAAGAATCTTTTGGTTATTGGATTAGTTGACATTTGATCTCAAGAGGAAGATTAAACTGAAGGAAACTTTAATTGTTGAATTGAGAGGTCTGGCTAGTGGGAATTGATATGAAAATATGAGGCAAGAATTAGGTTTGAAAGTCACAAGAGAGAGAATGTGGTTAGGGTGCAAAGAAGGGAAGTAACTCAAGAATGCTATGGCAATATAGAAGAAGACAAGGGAGGAAGGAAAAACTAAATCACAAATTTCTAAGAGTTTTCAATAACTCAAATTTTCTTTAAACTTGAAATTAAAATTTGCCAAGATTGGCAATTCTAAGAGATATAGTCTAATCATCATTTGTCCTACTTTGAATAGGATTCCTAAAACCATTATGCTTAGGAATAAAACTTAACTAATGTAAACTAAAGACCATACGTAGTAACTAAATTCGACAGAAAATAAGACCCAATGGACCATGTCCAATGCCCATACTAGCAAACCGTAATACTGCTTCAAAAACTCCAATTAACTAATAAATGCTTATAATAATGATTGGATAACAACTAAATACACTTTCCCTTGGACATTTTCATTGATGAAAAACCCATGATCTTATCTTTTTTCTTCCTAAGTGATGAATTTTATCCAACCAAGCTATTGGTCGTAACATTGTTGTTTTTACCTTATATTACCACAGGCATATCATTCATAGCGAATGCAAGTTGTAGAGTTTATTTTTATTATAATTATTGTTTTTTGCAACTAGAGTGTCATGGTCAAAGAAATTCAGCTGCTTGTTTTTGAATATTGAACTCTATGATTTGAGGTCAGTAACGCTTAAGCTTCGAAAAATTTACATTAAAATGTTTAATAAGCTTGAAATGAGCATGTAATATGTATCATGGTCAAGTGCAATGCAGGACTCATAAATTAAGAATTTTTAAAAATGCTAGACTTGCAATAGGGGCTACCTGTTGAGTAATTCACGGTCCTAGTCCTGGTGATGACTGCCAAGGAAAAGTAGGATGGTTGTTTTGATGCAGCTGAAGTTGCTGTGAAACTAAAATGGCATGATGCTTATGGCTGTGAATGCTTGAGGCATGGGCTTTTAATAGAATTTAATGGTTGACTATAAGCCTTTAACAGTTGACTTTTATTTGTAATAGAGAGTTAATAACTATTTTTCTGGATCCTTTGCAAGATATTTTTTTATTTAAAAATGAGATGGAAAATGTAAGTGATATAAATGTTGGAGAAGGTTCACTGTAACCTGACTCATCAGAGAAATATCTTGTACTTTGTCCCTCTGAACAAAATGTGCATTGTTCTTCTTTCATCGATTTTTGCATGAAATGTAAAGAACTTTCTTGTTTTATATGAATAGTGATTTTACTTTTTTTTCTTTTTACTAATTTTTCTCTGCTACCTTGTCCCTCTCCCTTCTAAATTCCGATAACTAAAAGGGTTTACTGCAGGCTATGTAAAAGCTCGAGCAGCAAGATGAGCAATGACGCTTTTGATGGGCATATACTAACTGAGAAGCTGTCAAAACTCAACAATTCACAACAAAGCATTGAATGTATCCTACAGTTTCAAGCTTATTTGGAGGTTTTTGTTAAGAAAATAGTAATGGTGGATTTTTCTCGTTCCCATTAGTGCTATATAATTATGGTGACACTCCTGATTACCAGAATCTAGTGTAATTCTAAAGTTCACAATTGAAGAAGAGAAATTTTTTGTTTATCTTGTTTTCTTTTAGATATGCATTTCTCTAACTTTATAAACATGTAACTTTTCTTGTAGATTTGATTGAGAATGTATCATGTATCTTTTTCCCTTATGAAGTACCCTGTGTATGTTTTCTTTGATTATGGTTTTATGGCATAAGCTGATGTGATGCTTTTAGATTTATCATGTCATTGTTCCCTTATTTTAACCACGTGTTTTTGCTACTTTCTTCATGTCTGGTACTCGCTACGCATGAATTTAGTATCACATGACTGCATCAGTTGTTCTGCATTGCATACAATAATCATGACATATTAAGTTTTTTCTTATTGAAGCTCTCTTCTGTTTGGATTTTAGCATTTTGCTTTCTTTATTTTTAAGTTTTTTCTCTCACCTGTGTCACTTGCCTTTTTTTCTTTACATTTCACCAATGTTGTTCTTTTTTGAATCATGCCTATTTTTCTGGTATTTTTTCTAATGCAATACATATTTATGCTGCCTTTATCTGTTTTACTTTGGACCTCTGGCTGTCTATCTTAGTTGGCTATTAATTGCTACGTCGGTGGTCTATTGTTTTCCACCAGGCAATAACTTTTTACTAAGACTTAGACTGACTGGCTGACATTAAATAGGTGCTTGTTTTGTTTCCAGTGGTGATCTTCCTTGAAATATAGGGGGTGGTGTGGATTTGGTTCTTCCTGTAACACCTTTGTGTATTTGATCTAACTTGTTGAAATTTGTTTTGGAAATTATCTCCAACTAATCTTGGTTTGATGCATTTTCTTTCTCAATGCAGCAAATTGATATTAGAATGTGATAATTAGAAAAAAAGTTGTTTCTTTTCAATATTATTTTTATTTTCTTTTTGCATTTTGAGGAACTTGTTAGCTTCTTTTGTATGTAGTTTCTTTAGTATTAGTTCGTGAGGTATTCATTTTACAAGTTTTGCTTTTGGGACATTGTTTTTACTCAGGTTTGTAGGTCTTACACACAGTAATTAATCTTGTTGGCCTTTTTGTTTTTGGTCCAAGAGAGGTTTGATTGTGAATTTAAGCTGTTTTATACTAAGTTTAATTTCCTATGGTATAAGGAGTATTACTTTATTAAGCGCTAAACTCATGTCATTTAAATGGAAAGGAGAATAAATTTATGTAAATTAAGTTTAATTTCTTATGGGATAAGGAGTATTACTTTATTAAGTGCTAAACTCATGTCATTTAAATTGAAAGGAGAATAAATTTATGTAAATTATCAGCAACTACTGATTTTCCTTCAAGATGTGTGATCTAGCCATAATGCCTACAGGCCTTAGATTGATGCTTTTAGGAGTTTCTTGGTGATACTGATGTTGATTATTTTTTATATTTGAATTACTTGTAGCCTGTTCTGTTGTCTTGTCTTCAATCAACTGTCATATAATTAGATATTACGCATGCATAGCATAATGGCCCCATATATAGTAATGTAATACTTTGAAGAGGGTTAATGCTTCAAAACTTTTCAACAAACTCTCTTTAATTGAAGGGATAAACATTATGAATGCTTATAATTCCTTGATTGGGATAGATTAAAGCTATCTGCAGTATGAAACTCTCTCAACATAATTTTCTCACTTAATAGATAATCTCCAATGAGAAAGAATGGTTCTTGCATGAAATTTTTTCCACAAAAAAAGAAGCACTATCTCATTGTTGCGCAATATACCTCTTGTTTATCTTATTTACTACCATGAATTGATGTTATCGTGCATTTCCTTAACATTGGTTCAGCGTTGTCTCGATGGTGTATTACTCACCGGAAGAGGGCAAAACAGATTGTTGAAACATGGGACAAATTGTTTAACTCTTCCCAGAAAGAACAGCGTGTTTCTTTTCTGTATTTGGCTAATGACATTTTGCAAAATAGCAGGCGAAAGGGAAGTGAGTTTGTGAATGAATTCTGGAAAGTTCTTCCTGCAGCCCTTAAACATGTGTATGATAATGGTGGTGAGCATGGAAAGAAAGCAGTAACCAGGCTGGTAAGTTATTTATTCAATTTTGAGCAGTCTTCTCTCTGTTGCTTGTGTCAAATGGATTAGCTACCTCAGGTTCTGATGGAGTGACAAAATTTGTTTTTTAATGGTTGCTCTATCGTTGTCCCAAGAATTCAATGGCTCAAAACTTGTTACTTTTGGTTAATTGTGCTCCTTCATGTCTCTTTATTTAGTGCATTTTCATTTGGAATCTGTTTGCATAATACTCAATCTGGATCTGTTAACCTGGTGTCATTCTTGCATTTTGTTTCCTTTTGCTTTGAAGTGGCTTTATTTGGTTGTAAATGGTTAGCGTTAAAAATTCTCAACTGTGTAACAGTTGTTAGGTGATGGATTTTTAGCTTAAATTAGAGTAGTCAAAATACTTGTATTTCTAATGCTGATTAATTCCATCAAAGTAGGATTTAATGGTAGAATCTTTTCTTGTAAATACATGCAGATTATAGTCTCTCTTTTTGATTTGTTGAATATGAGTTTGGGGTCTTTGTAGAACTATTGTATCAATTTTGCTGCCGATCGTTGGTATTGCTGATTGTAGTTTATGTTAGTTCCCTCTCTCCTTAAATGGCAGTGTTAAATTTTCTTATGTTACAATAATACTCAATATATAGAAAAACAACTAAAATTTGGTAAACCTCAATTTCACAAGATAGGTTTTTTCTTTTTTTCAATTGTTTTACTCTATCTTTGTCGTGATTATCGTATGTAAGTGAGTATTGCTGCATTGCATACATTGATTTTGGGGGGGGGGGGGGGGAATTGTGCTTATCAAAGCTTTTGGATACATGGTTTTTCATGTAGTACTTTTGGTTCCTGCGCCAGCAACTTACAGAAGTATAGGATGCTTGTTATTTTTTGGCTAAAGTTCTGAGTATGCCTTTGAACTATCCCAAGTTTCCCAAGAATTAGGGCATATTTAGGAAAAGTGAGAAAGTTCAGGGGCTTACTTAGTATTTTAGCCCTTTTTTTTTTTTTTTTGCAGATATTTGTGCTTAGGATGGCATCTCCTGGGTGTATTTTTGTAGATTATCCTTTGTTTATTGAAAATTGTTGTAGCGGCTCATGCTGTATTATTACATTTGTCTTAAAGTGGTCCTATCATTTAACAAGTAGTTTTTCCTCTCCCCCCCCCCCCCCTTCTCCTTTTTGTGGGTTTTTCTTCTGTGGTGGTGGGTTTGGGGGTGTTGTTTGCATGATAATGTTCAGGTTGACATATGGGAAGAAAGAAAAGTTTTTGGTTCTCGAGGGCAGAATCTTAAAGATGAAATGCTTGGTAAGAATCCTTCTCTTTCTTCTCCTCCTCCTTTGTCAGTGAACAATGGAAAAAGCTCAAATCCTATCAAGATAGTGAAGAGGGATGCTCATGCAGTGAGAATCGTAAGAATTTATCTATTCAATTCACCTTTCTACTTTCATCTATGATTGATTCTTGCCATTTTGTTTGTATTCTTTTATGACTAGACATTTTCTTGGCTTGTTCTTTTGTGATTTTGGTTATTTTTTCTTTTCTTGGTCATCTTATCTTCAGAAATTGGCTGTTGGAGGTCTTCCAGAAAAGATACTAACTGCATATCAATCTGTACTCGAGGACAATCCGAATGAGGATTCTGTACTAAACAAGTGTAATGCTGCTGCACAACATTTGATTAAAATTGGAGAAGATGTTGGAAATAATTTAGCTCAAGGTATGAGTTCTGCTATGGGATTTAATGTTGTATGCTTACATTTTATTAAGATTTTATTTATCAATAAAAAGAGAAGAGTACTATCTCTCCCCCTCTCTTTGTATATTCAGGTTTGTGTATGTCCTGATTAATGCTAGTTTTGGCATAGAGCTGTGCAGTTGTAATAAAGTATTTTTGAGTGTAATCTTTCTCTGAACTGATTCACTATTGAAAAGAGAATACTTCAGCCGTAAAATCTAGAAGAAAATGTTGAGTACAATTTACAACTCAATATGTGTCAAATTCTTGTTATTTTAGATTTATGAAGACAGAATTTATTGATGAGCCCAAATAATTACCTTGGATTCTTAATACTGGAATGGAGGGCTTTTGGTAAGGTGAATTTCCTGATGTTAGCTTTTCAAACTAAGTTCACCTGTCATTCTTAAACCATTCTGACAAGTGAATACTTCATGATTTGGTCTCTTTGAGTCCATTTTTGTAGTTAGTTCTTATTAGTTTCAAAATATTGAAAATGAAACATATACAATAAAGTCTAAGACCCTACTTACGACATGTAAGTTCCATCATTTCTGAGGTAGAAATCAGTAGACTGGGCCCTTTTCACTACTAAATTGGTGAAATATATACATCTAAAGTAAAATCCCAGCAGCATAATTTTGGCTGCTTCTCTTTCATATATTTATTTTTCATCTTGCTTATTATGCTCTAACTTTTTCTAATCTCCCAGTGACACAAAAGGTTTGCCTTTTTTAAAAAGCCAGCACAATTAAATCCCTTGAAGCCTCTTAAGGCTTCAAGCGCTAGTACTTGCGCCTGATTCTTAAGTATTTGCTATCAGTTGTTAGGTTGATTTGATTTTAAGATATTTATTCCTAAGAGAATGTCTCTCACTGTTCCTAACATGATTGTACTTGATCATTTGTGGAATTTTATTGTGCTTAACACCTGCATTTTACCCTAATGGATTTGAGAATGGAACATCATAAGAATCAACCCTAAGTAGTTGAGGTAAGCTCTTTCAAGGGTCATACAATTAGCTTTAAGGTTATTGACCTCTGATTTCTATCCATACTTCATGCATGTTTATGGTTGAATTAGTTGTAAATATAATGCTTAATGCTCCCTGATTGATCCAAACCAATCCACTGAATGAATGCACACAACTGTCTTCTAAAATATATATAAGTTATGCAATTCTTTAATGATGTAAGATCAACACATTGAATCTGCAATGAAGGGATAAAAAAATTTGGTATTTATCAATTGTTCTTATGACTGATTTTGGTGCATGTTCTGATTAATAGAGAGAGTTTCTCCTCTATAAAGTTTACTCTTAATTTTTTTTTTTATTCTAATATGTTTGTAGTGTATTAAATGTCTCTGGTGCAGCTGATCCAGATAGTTCTCCTTCTAATCAATGTAGTCTTTGATTAAAAAGTGATGAAAGGGAACATATATTTGAACTTTTTTCTTTCTTAGGTATTTTGTCTTAATGTTATGTTTCAAAACAATTTAATGGGGGATCTTTTGGTTGAGGTTGTAAACAGCTGATTAATTCAGTCAACTGAACTTTTATTTTATTATAATATCTTGCTTTCAGTTTGGATTTACTGTGTACATTTAACAACTCTAAGTGTATATATTTGATTTTGGTTAGGGAATCAGAATGGATCTGCCTTGCTGGATGAGCTGCAGCAGCAAGAAAACGCGCTCCAGCAAGGCATTGAACAACTTGAAAATATCGAAATGACCAGGGTTGCCTTGATTTTTCAACTTAAAGAAGCACTTCAGGAACAAGTATGGTTTCATTACTATCATGTGTTCTTGAGTTGGCAATTACAGTTTGGAATCATTTGTCCTTGTTGAGCACTCATTAGTTTAAAGTTTTTCAGGAATCAAAGCTGGAGCTTATTCGTAGTCGGATGCAAGTAAGAATTGCTGTCTTCCTAATTACTTTCTTGAGTTGATATTTTGCAGCTAATAGACTTCATAAATTTGCAAATTTTGTCTTTAGATCCCTCTACAACAGAAACTTATTTCGCAATGTAACATATGTGTTATGTTGGAAGGAATCACAAAATTGATTGGTGCCATAGTAACAATTGGGAAACATTTTTCTATAGTAAGTTGGGAATAAAACTTGGTAGAAATCCATGGAGTTTGTGTTAGGGCGTTTTACTTAAAACAAAGTCACAATAGGGAGAAATTATGTGAAATTAAATGCCCACTTGAATAGAAAGTTTTAGAAAACTCCAAACTGAATTTATGTGAGATTTATCATCACTTAGGACTCAATCTTATGTGTAGAGACTATAGGGAATAGGGATGGTAGGCTTATTATGGGGTAGGATTTACAAGTTTATCACTACTCAATGCTTCCTCTCATGAGCAGGACCAATGGGCCTATCACATTCCCATGTTAGGATATTCTGTGTATGTTAGGGTAACTAGGTGGACCTGTTCTGATGCTATATGCAAATATGTAGGCATTTACCTAAAATTGATTGACAATGAGTTGTCTATTTCAGATCTGAGTATTTGATATCAGAGTTCTATTCTGGTTATGGCTTATTATAGTCATATTATCTTTGTACAAGATTATGCTTCTATTGATTGATTGTACTTGTTTGATGTAATGCAACTTGTAAAACTTTTGCTATTTTTCCAAGACGAAGTGAAACTATTGATGTTTGTGCAGGTTGCTCGTGGTCAGATTGAGAAAGCAAGCAATGTAAGGAAAATGCTAACTTTACCACCTGTCCCTGGCCATCTAACTGCTACATCGATTCCAACAGCGGAGGCTGTAGTAGTGGGTGAACAGAACCTTCCTTCAGCTCAGCCAACTGGCACTCCACTTCAACCTCATCTTCCGCAACCTATGATTTCCTTTGCACCTTCAAAAACAAGTGAAGAAGATAGCAAGAAAGCAGCAGCCGCAGCTGTTGCTGCTAAGCTTGCTGCTTCAACATCTTCTGCTCAGATGCTTACCTCTGTACTTTCATCCCTTGTTGCTGAAGAAGCTGCCTTTATGAATGGAAGCTTAAAGTCTAGTGGCTTCACATCAGGGTTATCAATGTTTCCTCCAGAAAAGCGCCCCAAACTTGAGAAACCAATGCCTGCATCTGATGCAAGCAACTCAGACATCACCAGCACAGCTTATTTTAGTCCACTACAGCAGCAGACGATCAACAATACGGCAATTGCACCATCGACTGGTATGCAACCAATGTCCCAACGCAATCAGATTCAAGCTCCCTTTGCTTCTGCTCCTCCTCCTCCTCCTCCTCCTCCTCCAACCCTATCTCCTGCAAATCCACCAGCAAGTCAATATGTGCAGTCAACTGGTATGATGGTAGGGGTAATGCCTTATAGTTATGGAGCAAACACGCTGCCACTGCCACCTCCTCTTCCCCCACATATGGCAATGAGTTTAGCTAGGCCTGCTTCTCAGCCTCTACAGCAGTCGCAGTCTCAGTCTTTGCAACAGGCACAACCTCAGCCTCAGCAGCAGCCAACCACTGGAGGATTTTACCGACCACCAGGTATCGGGTTTTATGGACAAAACCCTCAGCCAACACCACCTGTGCCTCGGCAGTGAGCTTCGCTTGGAAAACCATATCATACTACAGGTACAGGCCCATGAATATGGCACAAGGTATTGGATTTTAGGGCAAACCCATCAACCGATACCACATTACATTTCCTTGAAAATTAAGAAGGCTGAGAGTGGCGGTGTATAATGTAAATTATTAGAGAATTTCTAGGCTTCTGTTGTCTTAGACTTAAAATCAGAGCATGACCATGCCCTCATTATCCTCTCCCTTAACCAATTTGCTCTGCTGAGTTCCATGGTTTACCCGGTACCTGTAACTCTTTCTGTTTTTGGGTATTACTACTACTACATGACAGCTCAGTCATAACCTGTATGTTGGTGTACCAAAGTAGCAAGGAACTGCCATGGTCAGACGGATTTACAATGGGGGCAGTGAAATCCTTGAAAAAAACTCCGATAGTTTTGTAACTAATACTACTAGTTCGAGGGAAGTTTTAACCTTTTTTTAAAAAAAAATTATTTTGATAAATCTAATTTTTAATTCATCCAAATAAGTAGGTAAAATAACACTGTTTGTCTGTAAATAGTGAGAAAATAACAAAGGGTTGTCAAAGCACAAATACAGCACTTAGATTTCTTCCCTCAAAATTCCAGGCTCGCATCATTATATTTTCGTTGACTGCGGTAACAGAGACAAGTTCCCCGTTTGATTCAAACGGGTCATGATGCGGCACGGTTGAGGCCAATTTGGACTTCAAACTGCGCAGGATATCCCGTTGGTTTGAACAGGGTGATAGCATTCTCACTGTGCTCATTTTATTCCTGTAGCAGTCTGCTGTGGTTTGTCGATTATTCTTATTCATCATCGAGAAGTGAAGTATACAATTAAAAATAAATTTGTAGTGTTTAAGTTGATTGTCTTTTGTCGCATATTCGAATGTCTTTTTTGAAAAATAAAATAATATTATGTATAAAAATTATTTAAAATATATTTATTTAATATTATTAAAGGTTTACTTGTATAAATAGTATGATTTTAATGAAATTAAAAATAATAATAAATATGAGATTAATTATTATAATAATAAAATTAATTATTATAATGATAAATTTAAAATTAATAATAAAGATATATTTTCAATGCAAACGCACGTGAAGTAAATCGGAAAAAAAAGAGAAATGATTATTAAAGATATTATATTAAAATTATATATATAAAAAATTTTAAATTATAAAATAATAATGTTTTTAATTATTAATATAATAATAAAATTTATTATTCTATTAATTTATTATACAATAAAATTCATTTTTATATTAAATTTAAATTTTTTATTTTATAATTTCTTAAATTAAAAAAATAAAAATAAAAAACAAAAGTAAATGTATTGATATGAAGGGTAGTTGGGGATAGAAAGGAGATAAAAACAATTTCAATTGGCAAGTGGAGGGTTCCCCTTTCAATTGGTGCAAGCCAATAAAATATACACCCATACCATGCTGAAGGAAAGCCGAATAAATTGCCAGTGTGATTAAGGCCAAAATGCCACCCTAACCGTGTACTGACACTTCGATGTTATCCAAATGAGGTCTAACTTAAAAAAAAAAAGTTGTAGCATTTTATGCAAATGGTAAATTAGAATATTTCCGCCAAAGATTTTAACAAATCAAAATCCAAACTTGATTTTAACAAATGTTAGAAATTTGCAATAAAATAACAACATTCATGATAATCTTAATTAAAACAATTTTTTTTGGGAAATAATCTTAAAATAATTTTAATTATATTATCTAAATAATGAATGTAACGAAGACCGAAGAAAATGAGAAGTTTACCTTGATTTGATATTTGATAAGCAAAATCTCGTTCCGAAACATCTGATGTTTGTAAAACATATTACATGCTATTTTCATGATAAGTTGGTGAATCAATATTTATAAGTAAAAAAAATTGATATCTCTTCGAATAAATTCAAAAGTTAAAATTTGATTTATCGAATCAATCTGTATTGATTTAAAAAATTTACCTTAAATTGATTTAAATATAATCTCATTTACTTATTCGTCTTGGAAAAAATTTAAAAATTAATAAAACATAAGTAGGTAAAAGTATGATGTCACTTAATACATTGTAAATGGAATGTATGTTTTAGTATGTATTCATCTGTTACTTGCTAAAACAATGCACGTACAAAGTAAAGATGTTATAGTTTTATAGATGAGTGGGGATTTATATCTCATTATGAAATTCAAAATCTGATCATAAATTTTAATTTATGTGAAAATTTTAAATATGTTGTCCTTACTTATATTATAATTTGCTCAATTTCAATAGTGATCGATGATAATTAATGTGAGTGTTTAAAATAAAATTCATGATAAATCTCATTTAAAAAAATACAAAGCAATAGTTTAACTTGATTATTAATGCTACCTAATAATTTTTAAAAGAGTTTACTTTCTTGTAAAGAAGTAAAATATATAATTTGTATTTGATATGGATTGAGCTTGGGCTCTTTTAGTGCTATTTTTCACAAGAAGACTATGTAATTAATGAATTTACTATGAAGTTTTTTTTTTTTAATATATAATTTTCTTTGCAAAAATCACTTTTGTTGGGACAATTCAATAATAAGCAACTAAATTTGAATAAATTGCAATTTCACCCTAATCAATTTTGGATTGAAGATATCATGCATTTCAAATTTTCCCTTAATTAAAATAAAAGATTTAATATATATATTTCTCATGCTACTAAATTTACCCTTCTCCAATATTTACAAAAAATGAATGGAATTACTTCATTAATTCATTGTAATAATAGTATATATACATATATATTTATTCTATTTAAATTATTCTATTTTAATATTTTATAATTATTTTTTAAAATTAAAAGTTGAAAAGAAATCTTGGTAAGAAGATTGGGTTAAGGTTCATTTGGATGATTGTTAAAATTAATTTCAATAAGATTAAAAATAACAATGATGATGAAATTAATTATTATAACGATGAGATTTGATGTTTAGTGATAAGATTTTAAATTAGTAATAAACTATGTATTTAAATACAAACACAATAATAGCAGTGAGACGAAGAATAATGAAAAAATAATAATTATTAAAGATATTAAATTTAAATTTGTATATAATTAAATTTATAATCCTTTTATTTTTACAAATTTAACAAATAATTAATAATTAATAAAATTATTTTTACATAAATTAATAATTATGTAAAAAATTAATAATATATACTTATTAAATTTAACAAAATATTTTTTATTTAATTATTTAATATCTATTAAATAATTATATAAATGATATGTTAAATAATTATAATAAATTAATTTTAAAAACTTTAAATTAATAAAATTAAATTAAATAACAAGAAAAGCAAAATTAAATAAAGGAGATGGTCATGTCGCGGCAGAAAATATTTGCCCATCTGCCCGTGCATTGTAATTGTAAAGACAAAAAGGAGAAAATGAGAGCAGCGATATTATTGAGAAAAATAGGTTCGCTGATAATTAAAATTTTCACCGAAGAGATAAAATTTCAGGGTTCTGTTCACTTGAACAGCATTCAATCACTACTGACAGACGAATTCACGATGAGATTAAGACCCTCAATCGTGTCTCACTGGAGGCCATTGATATCCAAACGGCGCCTGGGTATAAAATTTATGTTTGGAGGGTTTATCTGCAGGAAAACCACATTGAGGTCATTTTAAAGGCTTTATTTTCTGTAAATCTTTCTTGATCTGGAATCCATTAGATTCTTCTGAAGAAATGTTATTTTTCAAAAAAATCAAAAGCATCTTCAATCAGTCACCCTATCGTCCTCAGCCAAAAACCAAAAGAAAAAAAAAAAAAAAGGGAGATCATAAGTTTGTTGGATTATTCATTCATGGTTTATTCTTGCCTGACTTGAAATTCCACCTGATTCCTCTGAAGGTCTCAAGAATAATTGGTGAAGTCGATCTGATGCTTTACTAACCTGGAATATGTTGAAAAACTTATGTTGGTTAAGCAAATTCATTCAGTATTTTCCATATAATCATTGCGTATAAAATTTGTTGCCATATAATCATTTTGATTACCTGCTCCTCCCAATTAGTCCTCCAGGTAATGGAGCCTAGCACAATTGTTTGCAAAGCAACACCAATTATCATCCCAATCCATACTCCCTGCGAAATCAATGAAGCAAATTTATTTATGCAAAAAAAATATTTATATATTTGACGCACTACTAATGTATAATTATTATATATTATTATTGATGAAACGTATAATAATACCTCATAAAAATAATTTTAAATATATTTTTAAGATTAAATGTGTTCATTTTTTAGGATTTTAAAATTTTAAAATTAATTTTTATGATATGTCATTGTATGATTCACTTATAAAAAGTGTATAGCATCGTTATATTGACATTGTATCAAATATAAACTCAAAAAAATATACATTTTCTAACATGAATTTAGAGATATGGGTGTTTGGTTTGATTCGATTCGATTAATGTATAATATTATGAATTTTAAAAAATTTATCCTAATTCGAATCAAATTTTTTTAAAAATTAATTTGAATTAAATTTTATTAATTCGGTTCGGTTCATTAGATTCTAAATTTTTATTTTTTTATAAATTTTTTGATATTATTTAATGTAGTATTTAATATATCTAACTAAATTTAAATATAAAAATTTATTTTTATTTTATAAGAATTTAAATATATATAAAATTTAATAAAAAAATATATTTTGATTTGTTTAAGATATTTTCATTTTTTTACTTCACGATTTGAGCTTAATAAAAATATCTACTATCCAAACTTAAATTGAGTTAAATAAAAAATTTATTCGATTCAAACCGAATATTATGTTTTTGAATCAATTTTTTTTTCTTTCAATAGGAGGCTTTAATTACATCTTGGGTCAGATTCACAAAATTTGAATTTTTACACAATAAAAAGAAAGAAAGAACATTGAATTGAAGAAAAATGATAAGATTTGTAACCTTCACATCCAAATTAGCTACATATCCAAGAAGAATTCCTAGAGGTACACCAACCACATAATAGGAACAAATGTTGACATATGCAACCATACTTTGCCAACCAGCACCAACAGCAACACCTGCATTCAAGGCTTTATAATTTGAAGAGCATGCCTGGCAGCAACTTTATGAGATAAAAGTGCTTAGAATGCAATTTATACATGCCTGAAAGCACTGGCTGAACACTGTTGAGCAAAATTGAGAAAGAGAGTAGGACAGAAAGGTTAGACACAGATTTTGCTACTTGTTCATTAGTTGTAAACAAGTAACCAATTTGATGACCAAATATCAAACACAGAGCCCAGAAGATGATTCCAAGACAAACTGAGGTAGCTAGGATCATTTTAGTGGAGAATTTAGCAGCTTCTGCATTTCCTCTCCCTAGCTCATTGGAAACACGAACGCTGTAAAAGGCAAACATTCATCAATTTGGCTAACAGCCATGCGATCTGTTAGTAGAGTGCTGGACTGTTAGTTTTGGTTATCAGGATTTGAAACCTAACAGTCTCAAATTCCAAAAAAAAATAAAAATCATCAGTTTGGAGGAACTCAGTTGGAATATGGGCAAAGATTGATCAAGGTTTTGGTCATTAATGAAGCAATTACCTTGCTGCTGTCAGGAAGCCAAGACACAACATGAATTCCCAACCTATGATATTGAGGCTGCAAAATGTGGTATAAACTTTAAAACATTTTATGTTTAGCTATCTGAAATGAACAAAAAAAAATAAAATTTATGGCACAGTTCTGATCTTACCAAACAGAGAAGGCAGATATGGCAAGTGTGGCATTTTTCATATAACCTGCCAGAAGGACTAGTACAGCATTGTA